ATCCTGAAAGCAGCTCAGGACAAGAGGTCTGTAACATACAATGGTAGAAATATTAGATGGACAAAAGACCTATACACAGAGACCTGACAGGCCAGAAAGGACTGACAAAATATATTTAGAGCATTAAATGAGAGAAATATGCAGCCAAGAATGCTATATCCAGCTAGGCTATCATTGAAAATAGAAGGAGAGATAAAAATCTTGCAGGACAAATAAAAATTAAAAGAATTTGCAAACACCAAACTGCCCTACAGGAAATATTAAAAGGGTCCTCTAAGCAAAGACAGAGGCTAAAAGTAACAGACCAGAAAGGAACAAAGACAATATACAGTAACAGTCACCTTACAGGCAATACAATGGCATTAAATTCATATCTTTCAATAGTTACCCTGAATGTAAATGGGCTAAATGTCCCAATCAAAAGACACAGGATATTAGAATGGATTAAAAAAAAAAAAAGACCTATTGATATGCTGTCTGCAAGAGACTCATTTTATACCCAAATACACCTCCAGACTTATAGTGAGGGGGTGGAAAACAATTTACCATGCTAACGGATATCAAAAGAAACCTGGGGTGGCAATCCTTATTTCAGATAAATTAGATTTTAAGCCAAAGACTATAATAAGAGATGAGGAAAGACACTATATCACACTTAAAGGGTCTGTCCAACAAGAACATCTAACAATTTTAAATATCTATGCCCCTAACATGGGAGCAGCCAATTATATAAACCAATTAATAACAAAATCAAAGAAACACATCAACAATAAGACAATAATAGTAGTAGGGATCTTTAACAACTCCCTTACTGAAATGGATAGATCATCTAAGCAAAAAATCAACAAGGAAATAAAGGCTTTAAATGACACACTGGACCAGATGGACATCACAGATATATTCAGAACATTCTATCCCAAACAACAGAATACACATTCCTCTCTAGTGCACATGGAACATTCTCCAGAAGAGATCACATCCTGGGTCACAAATCAAGTCTCAACCAGTACCAAAAGACTGGGATCATTCCCTGCATATTTTCAGACCACAATGCTCTGAAACTAGAACTCAATCATGAGAGGAAAGTTGGAAAGAACTCAAGTACATGGAGGCTAAAGAGCATCCTACTAAAGAATGATCCACCAAGAAATTAGAGTGGATTGGTTGATCCACCAAGAAATTAGAGAAGAATTTTAAAAATTCATGGAAACTAATGAAAATGAAAACACAACTATTCAAAATCATTGGGACACAAAAAAAGTGGTCCTAAGAGGAAAGTATAGAGCAATATAAGCTTTTCTCAAGAAACAAGAAAGGTCTCAAATACACAACCTAACCCTACACCTAAAGGAGCTGGAGAAGGAACAGCAAGGAAAGCCTAAATCCAGGAGGAGAAGAGAAATAATAAAGATCAGAGCAGAAATCAATGAAACAAACCAAAAGAACAGTAGAACAGATCAATGAAACTAGGAGCTGGTTCTTTGAAAGAATTATTAGGATTGATAAACCTCTGGCCAGGCTTATCAAAAAGAAGAGAGAAAGGACCCAAATACATAAAATCATGAATGAAAAAGGAGAGATCACAACCAACACCAAAAAAAATACAAACAATTACAAGAGCATATTATGAGCAACTATATGCCAGCAAATATGACAACGTGGAAGAAATGGATGCATTCCTAGAGATGTATAAACTACCAAAATTGAACCAGGAAGAAATAGAAAACTGGAACAGACCCATAACTGGAAAGGATATTGAAGCAGTCATCAAAAATCTCCCAACAAACAAGAGCCCAGGGCCAGATGGCTTCCCAGGGGAATTCGACCAAACATTTAAAGAAGAATAAATAACCTATTCTCCTAAAACTGTTCCAAAAAATAGAAATGGAAGGAAAACTTCCAAACTCATTTTATGAGACCAGCATTACCTTGATCCCAAAACCAGGCAAAGACCCCACCAAAAAGGAGAATTACAGACCAATATCCTTGATGAACATGGATGCGAAAATCCTCACCAAAATACTAGCCAATAGGATCCAACAGTACATTAAAAGGATTATTCACCATGACCAAGTGGGATTTATTCCTGGGCTGCAAGGTTGGTTCAATATCTGCAAATCAATCAATGTGATACAATACATTAATAAAAGAAAGAACAAGCACCATATGATACTCTCAATAGATGCTGAAAAAGCATTTGACAAAGTATAGCATCCTTTTTTGATGAAAGTTCTTCAGTGTAGGCATAGAGAGTACATACCTCAATATCATCAAAGCCATCTATGAAAAACCCACAGTGAATATCATTCTCAATGGGGGAAAACTGAGAGCTTTTCCCCTAAGGTCAGGAACATGGCAGGGCTGTCCATAATCACCACTGCTATTCAACATAGTACTAGAAGTCCTAGCCTCAGCAATCAGACAACAAAAAGAAATTAAAGGCATCCGAATTGGCAAAGAAGAAGTCAAACTATCACTCTTCGCAGATGATATGATACTCTATGTGGAAAACCCAAAAGACTCCACTCCAAAACTGCTAGAAATCATACAGGAATTCGGTAAAGTGTCAAGATATAAAATCAATGCACAGAAATCAGTTGCATTTCTAGACACCAACAGCAAGACAGAAGAAAGAGAAATTAAGGAGTCGATCCCATTTACACCCAAAACCAGAAGATACCTAGGAATAAACCTAACCAAAGAGGCAAAGAATCTGTACTCAGAAAACTATAAAGTACTCATGAAAGAAATTGAGGAAAACACAAAGAAATGGAAAAACCTTCCATGCTTATGGATTGGAAGAACAAATATTGTGAAAATGTCTGTGCTACCTAAAGCAATCTACACATGTAACACAATCCCTATCAAAGCACCATCAATTTTTTTTAAGGAAATGTAACAAATAATCCTAAAATTTATATGGACTGGATAAGACCCCAAATAGCCAGAGAAATGTTGAAAAAGAAAACCAAAGTGGCACCATCACAATTCCAGACTTCAAGCTCTATTACGAAGCTGTAATCATCAAGAGAGTATGGTACTGACACAAAACCAAACACATAGATCAATGGAACAGAATAGAGAGCCCAGAAATAGACCCTCAACTCTATGGTCAACTAATCTCAGACAAAGCAGAAAGGAATGTCCAATGGAAAAAAGACAATCTCTTCAACCAATGGTGTTGGGAAAATTGGACAGCCACATGCAGAAGAATGAAACTGGACCATTTCCTTACACCACACACAAAAATAGACTCAAAATGGATGAAAGACCTCAATGTGAGACAGGAATCCATCAAAATCCTTGAGGAGAATATAGGCGGCAACCTCTTCGACCTCAGTCACAGTAACTTCTTCCTAGAAACATCACCAAAGGCAAGGGAAGCAAGGGCAAAAATGAACTATTGGGACTTCATCAAGATCAAACGCTTTTGCACAGCAAAGGAAACAATCAACAAAATCAAAAGACAACTGACAGAATGGGAGAAGATATTCACAAATGACATATCAAGATAAAGGGCTAGTATCCAAAATCTCTAAAGAACTTATCAAACTCAACCCCCAAAGAACAAATAATCTAATCAAGAAGTGGGCAGAAGACATGAACAGACATTTCTGCCAAGAAGACATCCACATGGCCAACAGACACATGAAAAAGTGCTCCATATCACTCGGCATCAAGGAAATACAAATCAAAACTACAATGAGATACCACCTCACACTAGTCAGAATGGCTAAAATTAACAAGTCAGGAAACGACAGATGCTGGTGAGGATGTGGAGAAAGGGGAACCTTCCTACACTGTTGGTGGGAATGCAAGCTGGTGCAGCTACCCTGGAAAACGGTATGGAGTTTCCTCAAAAAGTTTAAAATAAAGCTACCCTACGACCTAGTAATCACACTACTGGGTATTTACTCTAAAGATACAAAAGTAGTGATCCGAAGGGGCACGTGCACTTGAATGCTTACAGTAGAAATGTCCACAATAGCCAAACTATGGAAGGAACCTAGATGTCCATCAACAGATGAATGGATAAAGATGTGACATATATCTATAATGGAATACTAAGCAGCCACCAAAAGAAACGAAAACTTGACATTTGCAACAACGTGGATGGAACTAGAGGGTATTATGCTATGCAAAATAAGTCAATCAGAGAAAGACAATTATCACATGATCTCCCTGATATGAGGAACTTGAGAGGCAGGGCAGGGGGTCGTGGGGGTAGGGAGGGAAAAAATGAAACAAGATGGGATCAGGGGAAACAAAACTCTTAATCTCATGAAACAAATTGAGGGTTGCTATGGGGTGGGAGGTAGGGATAGAGTGGCTGGGTTATGGACCTTGGGGAGGGCACGTGCTATGGTGAGTGCTGTGAAATGTATAAGCCTAGTGATTCACAGACCTTTACTTCTGGAGCAAATAATACATTATATGTTAATAAAAAAATAAAATAAAATAAATCCCCTAATGTTGTATTTGTCGTTCAGAAGAGGATTTGTCATTCTCAGGATACATCCAGAAGTCCCATTTTCTAAAAAAAATTAACATGTTTTTAAAAATTTATAAAACATACTTTGTGTTTACTGTAGAACAAAATCACAGCAGATTACAAGTAACATAATTCCATGGATACATTTTCTATTGCAATCAATTATTATTAGTATTGATTCATAAATTTCCACTGAAGAGGAGCTTCACACATTAAAGTCAAAATTCATGGTTACTGAAAACTCTTTCTTAATTATTCAGTAAAGAGCTCAGTGAGGTGGTATTTTCATCATGTTTCAACCTTATAAAAATTTAAAGTCATTGTTCAGGAAAATTATCTTGGAGGAAAGAGAACCCTTATTCAACAAACGGTCAATCTAAACATTTGCTGATTGACTATGTTCCAACCACATAATAACTATGTAAACAATAAATCAGAAGTATAATAACCCCTAATAAAAATAAAAATGTAGTGGCAGAAATCTACACAATTCAAGTAGTGTTATCACCTGGATAGGTCTTCTAACTGCAGATCAACGTCTTGAAGTTTCTTTTGATAATTCTCTGTAAAGTTACAGAACTCATGAAGAATTGAAGATTTCAAATCAGGGTACGGGCATTCCAAAGTTTCTAATTCCACAGGCAGTTCTGTAAGCAGGTTACTTCTTTCTTCTGAAGAATAATCTAGTATCTGAAAAAAAATTATATGATTGTTATACTTAACATAAATGACAAATTGATAAACAAATTACTATATACATCAAATTTACCTTCATACTCCAGTCTGAAAGATAATTTTCTATTTTCTGTTGCTCCAGACTAAGACTTTCGAAGACAGTTTTCAATTGTTTCTTCACGAAGTCAATCTAGAGGATATAGATAAGAGAAGGTCTCTTTGAGGACCTGTGGAAAAGGGTTCAAGAAATGCCATAGCCAGATAGTGCTTATCAGAGGGGACCTCTAGACACATATCCTAAAAATGGGCCTAGGAAGTATAGTGGGGTCATAGCCACTCTGCAATCTCATTTGGATTTTGTTTGTGTTAAGACAGAGAGCTTACCAGATTGTCTCTGGTTTAATCACCCCCTTCCTCCCTTTGCATCCTTGCCTCCAATCCCCAACTGGATATGCATTTTTGTTTTAAGATTTTATTTATTTATTTATTTATTTATTTATTTATTTATCAGAGAGAGAGAGAGAGAGAGAGAGAGAGAAAGCATAAACATGACCTGAGCCAAAGGCAGACACTTAATCGATTGAGCCACCCAGGCTCCCCTTATCTATTTTTTTATTAGTCTATTGACTACCTCCCCTGACTAGAGCATAAGCTCCACAGTCATAATGGCACTAGATGTATGCTTTTAGATGATTTTTCTTACCATTTTTCAGTTATTCTGTAGTGTTGTTATTTTGCTTTCATAAATAATATATATATTTAAAGGCATTGAAAATCCCTTGCCTAGGGACTCCTGGATGGCTCAGTGGGTTAAGCATCTGCCTTCAGCTCAGTTCACGGGATCAAGTCCTGTATCAGGTTCCTTGCTCCAGCGGGAAGTCTGCTTCTCCCTCTCCCTCTGCTCCTCCCTGCCCCGCTCATGCACACTCACTCTTTCTCTCTCACTTTCAAATAAATAAGTAAAATCTTTTTTAAAAAAATAGAAAGATGATTATCAAGAGGAGGTAAGTGACATAAAAACAGGGTAATATAATAGAGAATGACTGTAGCTTCTCTCATGTGGATGATTGGGACAGGCCTCTCAGGGGAAAAGACACTTAAGCTAAGACCTAAGTGACAAAAAGTGGCATCAGTGGGACAGAGAAAACAGGTGATGCAAAGGCTTTGAGATGAGGAGTCTGCCACCTCTGAGGAATAGATGGGAGGTCAGCCTCAGTGTGACAAGGTCTAGGAAAAAGGGGAGTGTCAGGCAAGAGATGAGGTTTAAGAGGAGAGAAGCCAGGATGTATCAGGAGGACTTAGGGGCCTTGAGGGGATCTATCAGGGGGATGACTTGATCTCACTCCATCTAAGGTAGAATCCCAAAACGTACTGTGAAGAGTGGCAAGAATGAGTGCAGGGAGACTTGTCATGAGGTCATTGTAACTTTTCAGGACAGAAATAAGCATGCTTGGACAGATTCAGGGGTATGTTTAAGATACTGAAGAGACACAATTTACTATACCTTGTATTTTTTTTAATTTTTATTTTTTATAAGATTTTATTTATTTATTTGACAGAGAGAGAGAGAGAGACAGCAAGAGAGGGGATATAAGCAAAGGGAGCAGGAGAGGGAGAAGCAGGCTTCCCGCAGAGCAGGGAGGCTGATGCGGTACTTGATCCCAGGACACTGGGATCATGCCCCGAGCTGAAGGTAGAGGCTTAAGGACTGAGCCATCCAGGTGCCCCTACCTTCTATTTAAATACAAGGCACACATTTATTTCCTATGTCAAACTGTTCTAGTTGGAACAAAAATGAAATATTATATTATTAGAAGTAATGGTAATATACTGACCTCTTCCAGTACTTTCACCGAGTTAAGCTCAATATGTGAGCATGAATGCTGTGAAATGTGATGCTGTCTGTATTTTAGATCTGCCCTCAATTGCTGAATAGGACTTATCACATTCTTAAGATATGTGCACCATTGTTCTGATAACTCTTGTTCTATGAAGAAACAAAATTACATCCAGGTAACCCCTTATTATTTTAAGTTCCTTCAAGAACCAGTCATTACAATGCAGATTTAGCTTTGGATTCCTTCAGAAAAAAACAAGCAGTTAATAGGAAGAGAACCTATGGTGAGTGGCCCACTTTCATCTTCAAAATGAATCTCCCCTTTAAACATAGGATCAAAAAGGAAAACAACTCACCAAAATTTAGAAGGTCAGAAAGACATTCATTTCCAATGTTTTCCTCACTGAGAAAGGATTTTATTTCAGATTCCACTTTACATCTGAAATAGACATTATCTCCATCAGTTTTTTTTAAATAATCATAAACATACATAGATTTTAAAATTCACCTGTTCATTTATTCAGACCATACACTAAATTCCTAGCATGGGTTGGACACTTGCTAGACATGGAGATAGAAGCGTTAAGTGAACACCCCAAGTAGAAGTAACAGCATGAGCATAAAGGCAAGCGCATGGCACATCCTAGCATTGCTTTGTGTGGAAAGAGCTTAGGGCAGTAGGAAGCCACTGAGGGATATTCAGCTGACCTCACCTGCCAAGCAGATCTGTGTTTCAGAAAGATTCCCAAGGCAGCAAAATGGGGCGTGGGCTGGGAGGAGGAATGGTCAATAAAAACAGAAAATAAAGAGGGAGAGGATCAGGTAAACCTGGACCAACATGGAGGTTATTTCAAAAGTTAAGAGATCATGAGGTCCTGAAATAGGGAAATGGGAGTACAAGTAGGATTTAATTACTAATAAAAGTAATACATCTTAATGACTTTTTTTTTAAGATTTTATTTATTTGACAGATAGAGATCACAAGTAGGCAGAGAGGCAGGCAGAGAGAGAGGAGGAAGCAGGCTCCCCGCTGAGCAGAAAGCCCCATGCGATGCGGGGCTTGATCCCAGGACTCTGGGATCATGACCTGAGCCGAAGGCAGAGGCTTTAACCCACTGAGCCACCCAGGTGCCCCCTTAATGACTTTTTATCATATTACTTAAATATAGTCATTTTTAGAATAAAACCATAACCAGCTCTAAATGGACATCCAAAAACATTGTAGTCTATCCCATGCTTATGGCAGATTTAATGAAATCATAGAAGAGAGTTTTGATTATCATTTATCAACATCAGAAATGATATCAAATAAGAAAATAGCATCAATTACTTTAATACAATGATTATTTTTATTTTTGCATATAAGTTTCCAGTCCCTGTCTACATGCATATATATTTTAAATAACTATACTTATGACATAGTTACCATTTTATATTGGGATTTTTCAATAACATTTTAAGCTATTTCTAGGGGCACCTAGGTGGCTCAGTCATTAAGCATCTGGCTTCCGCTCAGTCATGATCTCAGTGTCCTAGGATTGAGCCCCACATCAGGCTCCCTACTCAGCCAGAGGCCTGCTTCTCCCTCTCCCACCCCCACCCCGCTTGTGTTCCCTCTCTTGCTATCTCTCTCTCTCTCTGTGTCAAATAAATAAATAAAATCTTTCTAAAAAGATACTTCTAAGTAATTCTCACAATTGCCATTTATTTTAATGGCCTCATAGTATTCTATTTTATATATGTGCCAGCATCTTCTAAGCCAACTTACTTACATGGACAGAGGTTTTATTTGTATCTATAATGAAGGGATTTGGGGTACCTGGGTGGCTCAGTGGGTTAAGCCTCTGCCTTCAGCCCAGGTCATGATCTCAGGGTCCTGGGATCAAGCCCCACATCGGGCTCCCTGCTCAGTAGGGGGCCTGCTTCCCCCTCCCCTCTGCCTGCCTCTCTGCCTACTTGTGATCTCTCTCTCTCTCTGTCAAATAAATAAATAAAATCTTTAAAAATTAGTGATTTATATATATATATATATATATATATATATATATATATATAATGGAGGGATACTATTATAGATGATACTTCATTGTCTACTTTTTTAACATGTAGTTTTTGCCAGAAGTATATCTGAAACTGTTACATGAAGGATGGTTGCATAATTGTGGAATAAAAACAGAAATTATTTCATGGTGGATTTGTTTAAACAAAAACATAGCACTTATCAACCATCTAGCTCAACTCCCTTAAGTTTTCAGCACCCAGAAAATCATAGTAAAACATACAAGCCAATAGGAGAATTGACTTTGTTCATCCAGGAGACCAACCTGCTACTTACATGTAATAATTCTAGTAAGTTCCATCTTGGTTTCCTAGGTTAACAACCTAACCCATCTGCCAAGATCAGGCTTTTTCTCTGATAGTCCTGATTGCCCAAAAAAATTCAAAAGCATTTTTTTAAGTCCTCAAGAACTATGAGACTCTGAAACTAGCTTGTGAATATAAGCTAACATTTCCCGAATTGTGTTCTATAAAACAATACTGTCAATGAGATGCTGGGATTGGGGGGAATGGGAAATAGTAAACTAAACAAAATTTAATATGTTTCAGCTTATCATATGTTTCAGCACAGGATTTCTCAAAAACTTGATTATGCTAAAGTGCATTGAGGTGATTTTCTTGAGGTGATTGAAAAATAGATTTTCTAATTTATAGGAACATGAAATTCATTATTCTCAATGGAGTATCTCAAAGAATATTTCTGTTTTGTAGAATTTGATTTAGCAAATATAAAAATTGTGGTTGGGGGCCCCTGGGTGGTTCAGCCAATAAAGCATCTGACTCTTTAGCCTTAGGTCATAATCTCAGGGTTGTGGGAATGAGACCTGCATAGGGCTCCATGCTCAGTGTAGAGTCTGCTTAAGACTCTCCCTCTCTACTTCTGGCCCTCCCCACCTCCAACTAAAATCAATCAATCAATCAATCTATCTATCTATCTATCTTTTTTAAAAAATTCTGGTGGATTCAAAAGCATTAAAAATTGTAACTCTGGAGAAGAGAACCCTGCCCTATTCATCACTGACTTGCTAGACCAGGTCTCGGGTGTTTTCCAAGGTGGAACTCTGCAGCACATACAATGTCTTCCCCTCTGAAGAGTGAGCAAATGTAAGGCAGCTTTCTGTGCCCAAATCTGGCAGTTCAAGTACCTCCTAATGCTATTTGGCCTATCCTCTGTTACCAGTGAATCTGACAGCACTACAAAAAAGTCTACTGAGTTTTTGCCCAGATGATATGTTCATCTACTTCCTAGATCTGCCTAGTTGCAATGCAACCACCTGCAAGGTAAATCAGCCTGGTGATGGGTGTTATTGAACTCTCTGGAGTCTACTGCCATACAGGTCCTCATCCTTCCAGGATGGTGCCAAAGTTCTAGGTATAAAATCAGTCTCCTCAGAACATCAAACATTGCCAGAGCTTCCTGAGATTTCTAGGGTAATCACTTGGTTACCAATTTGGGTAGAACAAAACATGGGGTACAAGAATGGTAGAGCAGAAGCCATAAGCAAACAATAAGCAAAGGGACATGGATCATGAAAGGCAGAGCAAGAGAATATGATAAAGTTCCATTAATGAAACTAACAGCCAGGAGACCTGCAGAAAATTAGGGTACCAGAGCAGGCTGAAGGTCAAAGCTTTGTCTCTCCCTCAGGGAAGGAACTTAGCAGGTCAGGCAGCTTGGTTCCTTACACTCAGCTATTTGATCCACTTCTCACCTGAGTTTGTCCCAAGTGAGCATACCACAGAGGCAGAGAAGGGAGTCTCACAACCAATGGCTGGGGAAGGCACTGAGGAACCCCTGGGCTTAGAGAGTTCTTTGAGGCTCTGAGTTGCACAGTATGAATACTGGTGTCAATTTTCTCTTTAAAGATATATTTATAGACATTTAATTGTTGTTGGTAAAACCCCATGATATCCTCCGTAAAAAGGAAACATTTTTAAAATAATATTTTAAGATTAAAACTGTAAAAAAGAAGAAAGAAAATAAAACTAAAACTGTGAGCAAGAGACTACATGTATTTCTAAGGGATTTGGTTATAAAACATCTCTTGTAGGAATTATCATACAAGTAGTAAAGTATACAAATGAACCCTCCAAATTTTATGATTCAACAATTCTGACTAAAACAAAAATTGTAATTCTTTACCACATGGTCAGTATAAATAACTCCCTCCTTAACTCTAAACCAGTCATTCTGAAACAAGGAAGCAAGTGCCTCTGAGAAAGTATATCAAGGTCTCTAAGAGGTATAGTTTGGGAAAGCACATTAAATACTAAATGTAATTTTATAAGTTTAAGTGTGAAATTCTATAAATTTAAATTTTATATATTTTAAATATTATATTTAAAAACTATATATTTAGAAATTTTGTATGTCTAGTTTCCTTAGGACAGATTTCAAAGAATTAAAATTTGGCCAAAAAAAATTTTTTTTGCTAGCAAGATTAGACCAATTCAATCATCAGGTGATATGAATGGAACCCTGTGGGGGAGATAAGCTTCTGAACTCCAACTTCCTGGAGCGCAGGAGTTAAAGGCAAGTGCTCCAATGCCATCTTCACATAAACAAGCTGATTTGCCTTCTGTGAAAAACTTTGATCCTCTGAAACTCAAGATTGTCACCTGTAAAGTGGGGACGCAAAGATACCTACTCTGTAGGGTGGTCATAAGGACTTAATGAAATAAAGCATATAAATTATTTACCGTATTACCTGGCACATACTAAATAACCCAGCAAAAGTTCAATGTCATTGTAGTCACCCACCTTCTGTGGGCCTGAGAGTCTCAAATGGACTCTCCTATGGTGAGGCATAAAAATATTTTATTTTTAATCTTTTATTAAAAAGGAGTATAGGTTTTTAAAGGTTGGAGCTCACACTCCTGACTTTCTGGTGGTTCCTAAATTCTCCACAAATCAAACCACTTCTCTAACTTTCCTCCTTTCACTCTTAGTTTTTATTTCACTGAAAACATATTGAAATGAGTCTGCTTTCTAGAATAACACAGAAAATTATCTTAGAATTCTTCTTTTTGTTCTGCTTTTAGCACTTACAAGTTTCAACACATTAAGGCTATTCCTTGAATGCTCCTCCCTTCCATTGCCTTTGTGTCATTCCAGGTCAACCAAAAGAACCATTTTCCATAATGATATGTATATGCTTCTTCTATCTAGCTCTAGAACAGCTAATGCACACATTTAGAAGCATGTGGAACAGCCAAGATAAAAACTTCCACCAGTGTCTTCCTTTACCTTTGAGCTTGCATCAGTGAGTGCTGTAATAAAAATTTTCTAACAGCTTTTCTTTCTACCAAGTTATGCAAATTAAAAAAAAAAAATTTCTAATGGGCTCAAACATCCTCTCCATAAAAGGTGACTTTTTGAGACATATAATGGGACTGATTTGTTTTTATGTCAGCAGCATGGTGATGGAGTCTATGTAATTTTGTTTTTATATGTTTTAAGTTATACAATGTTGTAAAACCATTTCCAATCATGAGCCTTTTAGTTCAGTTCAGAATCTCTTGCCGGAATAAGAAACTCCTAGTAATTTGAAAAGTACCTACAAAAATACCTATCAAAAGTAAAGTTAATGACCTTTGGGTTTGACTTAGAATAAGACCATAAAACAACCTATTTTAATACAAAATATATGATTAAAAACATACATTTTAAAAAGCATACTTTATAAATACCACCATCATTAAAACTAGTATACATGTTTCATACAGAGGGGAAACATATCTGCCTTCTCCTTCTGCCCTGACCTTTGAAAGAAATGTATTTTTCAAGGATTACAATTAAGAACAAGGATAGAATCATTATTTTGTTGCTTCATCTTGAAATAAGTGCTAGAAATATTAACAAAAGTAAAAAATGCAAATTGACTAAGTTAGTCATGATGCAGCTACATCTAGAAATCAGTGAACAACTTGAACCCCTTAGTTCATTTTTTATTCATTTATTGAAATCTTTTCTGTCTCCTCCTATGAATCCTACAACGAAAAGATAAAACTGATGGTATGTTTGCCCTCGTTTGGCACTTCATAGGGAAGACAAACACGTAAATAAGATATTATAATTCAATGTGCTAAGGGCAATATGAATAATTACAAATATGAGAGAGAATGTAAAAGAATAAATGATCAGCAGATATAGAAGATATTTTTTTCCTGAAGGAAAGCAAAAACCATATTAATGTATTCACTGGATTTCAAATTAAATTGAGGAAATGAAGGAATTTTAATTTAACTCACAATCAAACTGTAATTTTAACTCTTTTTAATGGTTCAGTTAACATGGAAAGTTATGGAACTTCTAACTAAGTGCAACTCTTAGCAAGTCCCGCATGTTCTTGTAGAGATTTCCCTCAGTTCTTACCTGACATCAGTTAGCCGTTGGTGTTCCTGCCACCACACTTGCTTGTGTTGTTTTAGTAGTGTTTGTTCCTTAGATATCTTTGAAGTCTCCACTGCTTTCCTGATCTAGATTTAGAAGAACAAAAAAGGAGCAATTCCAATGTTTTCTAAGTGTGTTTTCCACAAGAAAATTGTTTAATTTGTCATTTCTAAGTTAAATATTTATTCTTTTTCAATCTTATTAGTGCATTTTCTAACACAAAATCCACCTTAAAATAAGTAATTCATTAAACAAAATGCAGGACGGTGAAAGAGAAAATGGTTTGGAATACTGTCCAAGTCAAGAATTGTCTTTAAAATAGTTATGAAAAGAAAGATGATGTAATTCTATTTTCCTTACATACAGTGAAAAACACCTTAATTCACACAGTCTCGGGAAAATTTTTCAAGAGCTTTCCATATATTTCTTCTCTTTTTGATACCTCTTCCCTGCCAGGCATTATGGCCATCATTATCCCCATTTGACTTATGAGGACACTGAAGTTCAGAGAGGTTAAAAAAACTTGTCAAGATCATAAAGCTCATAAACTTCAGAAATACATAGAACCTTGGTGTTCAGATTGGCTTTTACATGCTCCTTCAGCAGAGGATTGGGAAAAGTCAATTGGATAAGTTGTTAGAAAGTCTGGCTTTAGTTTCAGCTTCAGCACCTACTAGAAATATGACTTTGAAATCCAGTTTTAATCTCTCAACTCCATGACTTCATAAGTAAAGTTTTAAAAAATTTAGACAAATATTTATTTGAAGGAACTTAAAGAAATTGTGAAAAATCATGTAACACTAAAGCCCACATTTGTAATTAAATTTTAAATTTCCCCAAATTTTATGGCTTTTTGAAAATGTGGTTCATAATTAGTGCTTTGGAGTTTGTTGACAAGTTGTATCAGGCCTGGATCTGTTTGCCTTAACATCCATTCTTGGCCATCTCCCTGATCTGCTCCATATCACAGAGCAGCCCGTTTCCCAGTCAACCCTATTAATAGGCTTCCAGCTGGTTTCAGCCAAAGGGAGAAACTGGTTTCAGAGACTGAACAGAGGGAGGAAAGCAGAAGCCAAAGGATTACTCTGCCTGCCTTTTCTACTCTCAGAGTGGTCTCCAGAAGCATCTGCATCTTCTCCATTGCTCTAACTTTTCTTGACAGTTCTACTATGGTTCCAACAATTTCTGGGTAAACTCAGCCCACACAATGTGGTGTATAGACTTGCTTTTTTCTAATGTCCCTCTGACCCAAGCATGGCAGTGACTTTTGCTGTTGTTAACCCCTGTATTCCTTCATGGCCCCATTTGGCTTCTCAGCCTGTGTAACCATTTCCTGCATTAATGACACCTAAAATCCTCAATGTCTGGATGCCTGGGTGGCTGAGGGTCATGATCCTGGAGTAACAGGATCCAGTCCTGCATCGGGCTCCCAGCTCCACAGGGAGTCTACTTCTCCCTCTGACCTTCTCCTCTCTCTTGCTCTCTCTCTCACAAATAAATGAATAAAATATTTAAATCCTCAATGTCTGTTTCCTTGTTAGACTGATATTCATGTGTTCACTGAATTCACATATCCAATATTAGTACTTCTAAACATCTACAAAAGTGCTACTCTCAAATCAGAAATTTGATGAAATATGCATATTTTATGTTTTCTGTGCTATTAGAATACTTAGTAGGCTGAAAGCTTTAACAGATCAATGCTGAAGATAAAAAAAAATTCAGAAGACAAGTCTTAAAAAGAGACTCTTTATAATGCATGCTATTTCTAGCTGTCATTCACTGATTGCTTTAACCTTGCATTTATCTTTCCACTATTCCAGTCACTGATTCAAAATTAGGGGTGAGGAAAACAAAAACATGAAGTCAAAGTCAAATCTTTTTCTCAGGAGGTCTTTGTTACAATTAGGAAAAGTACATTTAAATAAGAACAGGAGGGGCACCTGAATGGCTCAGTGGGGAAAGCTTCTGCCTTCCGCTCAGGTTGTGATCCCAGAGTCCTGGGATCAGCCAGGATCAGACTCCCTGCTTAGCGGGGAGTCCGCTTCTCCCTCGGCCTCTCCCTCTGGCAGCTGCACCCTATCTCTCTGTCTCTCTCTCTCTCTCTCATTCACTCTATCTCTTTCTCTCAAATAAATAAATAAAATCTTAAAAAAAAAAGGACACTACAGAAAAACACTCAGCAATCCTTATTTCACCTACTAAAAACATAAAAGTACATAGTGTTTCTAAAATCTGACACTCTTATATTTGCTTTAAGAATGCCTAAAACCCCTTCCAATTATTTGCCACCTATAGCCTCTAAAGTATGTTGCAGCAGACACAACTTTTAAAATTAGATTTCTTTGACATATTTGGTCCATGTTGTACAAAAAAATTAAAACACATTGGTGAAAGATGTAGACACATTTTTATAGTTTAAAAAAATCAATGTTGTAGCCTTTGAGCCCAGGGTAAGGCCAATTAAGTAGACTATAAAAGTGGAAAATAAAGCTACTGTTTTTCACTAGACACTTCCAATATTTTAAAGAACATCCTGATTTTTTGTAAGTTCACTCATTGACTCCACTTCTATCCTCAGGCCAAAAATGAAGGAAAAATAAAGTCTTAAAAGAACAAAAAGATTTAAAGTTGTATCTTTTTCAATAGAGAGATTTCTAGGTGATTCTAATGTATTTTGCTGGGCAATAAGCCATATGAAATCAATATTTAAGGTGGACGATGATTTATGCAGAATGCTAATGAATTAAAAATAGCAAAAATAATAAATTCATTAACGAATAAGAAACTAGAGGTTTCCTATATGGTCTATTGTGATGATCCAAAATAATAAGGCTCTAAATCGGCACCTTGAAATACATGAAAACACTTTGGGCAGATGGTCCATTTTTAAATATAAGCTACAATAAGTAGTGGACAACTTAAATGTTGGTTACATATGTATATACATTTGTCAAAATTCACTGAAATGTACATAAGATCTGTGTACTTATTATACCTCATCAAAGGTAAAAGAACAGTTAAGTGTATAAGAAACTGTTAACATAAATAAAAAGAAAAAAACCCATCTACACTAAGATGCAATTCCTCATCTAACAAGTTAGAAAACCTCAGATGTGTCACAAAACACCCTGTGAGGCTATAGGGAAACATATTCTTTCCTGTTGCTGGTGGGAATGCAAAATGGTGCAGCCTCCCACAGAAGGGAATCTGGAGGTGTATAGTGAAATTTCTAATGGATTTACCCCCTGACCTAGTAAATTTGCTTATAGAAATCTATCTGAAGACTATACTGACAAAAGTATAAAAAGACAAATAAACAACAAACTATTCACTGCAGCACTATTTGTGATGGAAAAAGACTGCAGTACAAAAATTCTATCAATAAGTGATCCTGCCAAAATAAATTGAACCAGAATCTCATCAAATCTGCAGATATAACTACCAATTTACTGGAAATAGAAGAGACAGAAAAACATGTTAGGTGACACCACCAGGATGTAATCAGCAAAATCCAGACTATAAGAAAATATAAAAGACAAACAATATAATTTCTTCAAAAAATAAATTACAAAAATACAGAGGATAGAGGAGGAGACCTAAAAAATAAAAATCAACTGTAATATACAGATCCTACTTAGATACTGATTTGAACAAACTCTAAGTAAAAAGAATTGAAGACAATCATGGAAACTTAACACTGGATATTTGAAATTAAGAAATTATTAGTATCCTAATGGTAATGATATTATAAGGTTTGGGGTGGGGCTGTTTAGCCCTCATCTTTTAGAGATACATGCTGAAATATTTATGATTAAATATTATGATGCCTGAGATATACTTCAAAACAACCCGGCAGAGGGGAAAGTTGTAGTAAGGACTACAGAGAAAACAATAGCCAAGAGTTGATCATAGTTGAAGCTGGATAAATTACAAAGAGATTATTAATCATTCACTCTCATTTTGCATGTGCTTACAATTTCTGATAATGTTTTTTAAAAAAGAATTAGTAGACAAATAGATAATAAATATTTATTCTTGCTAAGCAAAACTATTCAAATAAAAATAATTGTAAAGGTCTCTTTTATACTTAACTAAATTATATGTGAATAGTTAACATATAATATACCAAAAATCGGTCTCTGTTTCCAGCCCAAATCTACTTTTTGACTTCAGGTTCAATCTCAGCCTATGAAAGACTAGACCACTCTATGTTCACATCAGTGTCTTATCTGGCAGTCCACAACTTGTGCATGATCAATGACATAGACACATCTGATCAATATACCAATATGAGTAACAGAAACAAGGCAAGTCTTCTGAATTTACTGCTAATTAACAATAATTATCAAATATAACTAAGTACTCTAGATCCAACTTAATGCAAATACATCCTTAGTGTTAACATTCTATCCTTCAGTTTAAGTATATTTACATTTAATATTGCCAGAGTATACTGCTATAGTAATTAACAATGATTGTTAAAGCTGTTAATTTCATGAGCAAGAAAAGAACATATTTAGTTAGGTAAAAAGTAGGAAATGAACTGATATTTAACAAAAATGTTGAAAGAATGTGGTAACTATGTAATATGAGGAAGAAAAATATTCTTCTTGAGCCAAGGCATATTTTATATAAATGTAAATAACAATATAAGAAAGAGTAACAGAGATAACATTATAATAATAATCCCAGTTGGTATAGACTGGTTCCTATATATATTAGCATTCGTAACATTAAACAAAATAAACTTTAAGAATTATACTTAATTTCTAGTTATCTAATTCCATTTAAGCCATGAATCTTTCAAGGAAAAGTCTTATTTAGGAATTGTTCACATTTTGTAACAGTTAATTAAAAACAAAATATCAACTTGTTATCTCTAAATTAAAAGAGAAGAAAAGACCAAAAATCACATGAAACAACATTCGCAGTACATCTTTCTTAATCCAGCTGTACTAAAAAATGAAAACTATAAAAGGAAAGAAGAAAGTATTAGAAAATGATGAGGTATCCAGGATACGCTTTGTTCTCACTAACTGAAATTCAAAACAACAGATACTATAAAAATGCTCTAACAGGACAATTCCTTATCATTATGAATCTATGGAGACTAAAAATGGAAGCAAGAAGCTTATCAAAATGATTGCTACAGACTGTGGACCATTTTCAGTAGTTGAAGACAAGGGATTTTTCAGATTTGCCAAGCTATAAATCCCAGGTACAGTTATTTCCAGAAAATATGTAACTAAAAAGCTTCTTCCTGAATTATATTCTATGAACAAAAAGGTTATTGATGTTATTTAAAATGTCAGTTGAAAGTGATCATCTGCTTAATCTCACAAATGTGTAACCAGTGACCAGAGAAGCAATCTAACAGCTGACAGGGCTGAGAAATTACTGCCCTTGCACTTAATATCAAAAACTGAAAGCCACATCAATGATTAAAATTTTCAGACATGTTTATTCTTTAATAGTGATTCTGTTACGAAAGAGAAATTCCCCATGGCCAAGCAATGAGTTCTGACACTCAACCATTCTACATTCAGCCAAAAAAATTGTTTTGGAACATGATGGATGGACAAACAGAGACAAACAGATATATAGATAATATTTAAGATGTATGTGTGTATATATATGAATATATATGTACATATTCCAATACTGAAAGGGTGTAGAGGAAGTACCTGTGGTGGTATCTTTATTAGAACAACACTTTGGAAAAGAACTTTTTAAAAAACATCCAAATTTTTTTTCCTTGAACACTCCAATCATGGGAATTTATCCTATGAGGGTAAAAGATTCTAAAACATGAAAATTGTCTATGCATGAAGATATTTACCGAAGTACGATTTCTAATATTGTAAAATTGGATACAATCCAAATATCCAAAAATCGAGATGTGATAAGGCATATTATCTTTTTCTATTTGAAGTACTCATCACTCCTGTTTTGGCTTAATTTTTATTGGCCTTAACATCCCAATTCCAATGTCATTGCCTCAAAAAGGCCTTTCCACTGAACTACGATCAAGTCCTGTTAGTATACACCAGACAGCATGTTTTTATTATTTGAAAACACTCACTTTCCTCCTTCTCTCCTATAAACAGTGCATGCCATGAGGGTAAGGGATGTATTTTGCTCATTATTGTATTATTTAGCCACATAATAAATATTTATTTATGAGAGCAATTAAATATTCTATAATAAATATTAAAAAGATTATGTGGCAAAGTATTGGGGGAAAGTATACAGGATTTCATGTCTATGTTTACCATGGGAGAAAATAAAATATATATGTATATGTTTATGTTTATATATGTATGAATATATGTGATGTATATACAATGGGTCAGAATAGAAGTCAGAAATATGAAAATAGTTTTATTAGGATGATGGTTATATAAGTGATTTTCCCATAAAATTTCTTTCAATGTCCTGAGAACATCAAATTCTTTTAAAGTTACATCTGAACTGAAAAAATAAGGCCCTTTCTAAGAAGTCTGCTTAGTTTGAGGGGATAGGTCTCATGGGTAGAGAGTCATTTCTTTAAAATAGGTACAAAATGTGCTTTGGAATCATAATGTTTGCCATTTAAATAAGATATAACCATAAAAAGCCATGTAAAACTAATGTAACACAAAAAATATTAAATGCAAATGAAAACTTTTAATTGCTTAATATGTCACTTTGCCAAATCAGATTTTTAATGCAACAAAGCAATGAACATGTTGCTTGTAATGTACTTTATTATTTGCACAAGAGAGAAACATACTGTAAGAGTAATCCTAAACCACACTTGGTCCTAAAATACTGTACAATCATTCGTACAAAAAGCTTTTGAAAAATCTAGTCCAGGTTCACCTTTTCTGAGATGAGGGCAAAAAAGGGAATTGTAGAAAAGAGAGGCACTTGAGGGCATATTTGTATCATGGCGCAAAAGGAGCCTTAAATCAGATGGTAATCCATGGCTGGCACTTATTTGCAGTTCTTATTTTTCAAAGTAAGTTAGAAATTGTCAAAAGCTAATAAAATAGCTAGCTTTCTAAAAGTAAAGACCTCAGGGATATTATGAACATTAACTGAGGAATGCATATAAACTATATAGCAAAGAGTCTGAGAGCATTCAATAAACGTCAGCAGCTCTTCACTATAATTAATAGTTGGAAGATTCTAAAAACTATTTAGAATGTCATTAATTTTCACATTTACATTATAAATATCATTTTACTTCCAGGAAACTCAATTTTCCAAAACTAGAAAACACACATACACACATACACACTTCTAACCTTTAGCTCTGTAGAGGCAGAAGCTAATTTTTTTGCTTCCGTTAATGCATGCAACTGTTGATAGTCTACTGGTTTATACTTGATGTTTCTCATTCCATTTTTCATATGGAACACCAGATTATCTGTTTTTCATTAAAACAGAAAATGACAAAAAAATAATATCACATTATTGGAAGTCTCAAAATAGCTATGGCAACATGTTGACTGTTGTCTTATTTTTAAATATTTTTAAGCAAAAACAAGAAATGATATTATAACATTCATAGTATAGTTGAACCTCTATCTTTAGAAACTTTAAAAATAATAACTACTATATACTTTGCATAAAATTACTTCTAAAAGAACATAAAGGGAATACTTCCATTTAAGTAACTTTATTGAGAATTTTAGAAAATTGTCAAAGTATAACGTCTTTTTATTTTAAAAAGTTTTAGGCATCAACTGTGAATATTTAAGTATCATCTTATTATAAATAAAATTAAGTAGATTTTTAAAGTCATAGCTGTATTTCTAACAGAAAAAAATTGAAATAATTTCAAGTAAATTTGAAAAAAGCTTGAAACTTAAAGCCAAAAAATTTAATGGGCCAAATAAGAATAAAATGATGTAAAATGGTCAGGTAGGCATTCTCCATCCAAATACATAAAATATCCTAGTTTAGTATGATGTTCGCTTTTCTGATAAAGTAAAACATAAGTAGAAGGTACTCAAAGGCCACGTAGCATAAAGTATAATAATCTGAGTAATTCAAAGGCAAAAAATGCATTTTTGCCTCAATTATATAAATAATTAATCTGTACCATGCAAAGTAATTGAGATTAAGTATATCATGAGTCACATGACTTTTAAGTAGACTCCAAATGATTTAAGGACAAACACAGTAAAGGAGATTATTGTTATCTTGACCACTGTTGAAGATTAAAGTATACATTGTAGAGTATGCATTGTAAGAGAACTGGAGAAACCTTCAGTATGACCAAACAATGAGCTTTCCATTAAAATTTTGAAAATCAACATTCCAACTTCACATCATCCATAATCCACTATAAATCATAGAACAGATCTGGAAGTAGAAAAAATACCTGAGCTATCGTTTTTCTGAATTGTCATGAATGATTGATCTCTTTTATTCAAGTCCTCCATATCTGTGGAAGAAACAAGAGACAGCTAAGATTTCACAATGTTATTTCCCAAGTGTTTTTAAAGATGCGTTAATCGTAGTTTTCTTTCTTTCTTTCTTTCTTTCTTTCTTTCTTTCTTTCTTTCTTTCTTTCTTTTAAAAACAAGGTCCATGGCTGGATGCCATAACTCTTTGTATTTACTAAAATTTTCTTCTCCAAGTTCTAGAGTTTTCTTCCTTCCATTAGTTTTTTCTCCTCCATGCCTTTCCTGTTCTTGGTGTCTCCTTCCAACCTCTGATGTTTTAATCCCCCTCTCTTGGATTGTCTTAGTGACTGATAAATATTTTGTGATAAAAATTGTATAAACTTTATCCAGAGTCCCTAGGAGGAAAAAACTACATAAATTAAAAAATAAAGCAGCAGGGGGAACCTGGGTGGCTCAGTTGGTTAAGTGACTGCCTTCAGCTCGGGTCACGATCCCAGGGTCCTGGGATCAAGCCCCACATCAGGCTCCCTACTCAGTGGGGAGCCTGTGTCTCCCTCTCCTTCTGCTGCTCTGCCTGCTTATGGTCTCTCACTCTTTCTGTCAAATAAATAAATAAAATATTTAAATATATATATATTATATACATAATATATATATAAATAAAAAAATAAAGCAGCAGGCCAAGTGACTCACTGCTCAGATGTGCCATCCACTTCTAGAAAGCATTCGATGCCCAGCTGTCCCTTCTTTCCGAGAGTTGGACTCAGTTTCTGAGAGTAACCTCGTCCAAAGATATACAAATGCTGGGGCATCCTACACCCAAAGACTGAGCAAGGCAGGATTATAAAGTCTGACCAGTTTGGATCCAATGTGAGTCATCCTGATGAGCAATATTTCATCCAGAGTTCCCTGCAGTGTTGACCCACACTTTGCTGGACCTGCAGTGAAACTGACTTTTTCATCTGCCCAATCCTGCTTCCTCCTTCTTCCTTTCACAGGTATGGATCCCTAATGAATATCTAGCACCCAACCTCTGCCTCAGCATCTCCTTCCTGAGAACTCAACCTGCGGTAGCACCAAACTAAGCTGGCATCATTTTAGGGCACCTCCAGGGCAACAGACTAGTCAAATGGTGTAACAGTACCATTTTTCATAAATTTTTATTCCATATCCACTAGGTTCAACTACTCATGTCTGGTGGCTTTTGAGGTAATCTAAGTCTTCTTAAATGAAAGAGAAAGTAGCACAAGTACATGATTTTTGGAAACTCTTCCAAGTTACTAAGAATCATGGTGATTGCCCACCAGCTTTCAGAATACAGCAATAAACTCCAGTGCATAGGTCAGGGAACTCTTGTTTTAAGCCTTCGGTAATACTGACATTCTTCCCTATAGTCTGGTTTCTACTCACATCTACATCCTATCCATTAGGATTCTTCTTTTGGGGGGAAGATTTTCACCTGTCAGTCTGCACTGCCTTAAGCCACCATCACCTCCTGCCTGATGACAGCAGCAGTTCTACTTTGTACCCTTAGAGACCATTCTTCACATTCTAAGCAACCTCTTTAAAAATTCTAGTCTGACCTTGCTGAATCCTTTCAACAGCTTCCATTATCCTTTACAATAGTGCCCTAAATTGCCCATAAAGCCCTGCATAACCTTGCCCTTGTTCATCTCTCCATTCTGATCTCATTCACACATTCCAACCACACTCTCTTTCTGCTTCTCAAATATACCAAGTTCATTTTGCCTTAAGGCCTTCCCACATGCTGTCCTCTTTACCTTAAAGATATTTCCTTCCTCTTTTTTTTAAATTTTTTTTTATTTATTTGACAGAGAAATAGAGAGTACAAGTACAGCAGCAGGCAGATGCAGAGGGAGAAGCATTCCCTGCTTAGCAGGGAGCCTGATGCGGGGCTCGATCCCCAGACCTTGGGATCATGATCTGAGCTGAAGGCAGCTGCTTAACCGGCTGAGCCACCCAGGCACCCCTATTTCCTTCCTCTTTTTACCTGGCTGGTTCCTACTCAGCTTTCAGCTAAACCTCAGAGACTTAACCAGACTTCTCCATCTAAATAAGGGAGAATGCTTTGTTTTTCTCTCTCATCCCATTCCTTCTTTTCCATGATAATTTGTATTAGTCTTCGCAACCCCATGTTTACTGATTCAATGTCTTCTACCTCCATAGATTTGTGGCCTATGTGTGTCTTCTGATTGCATCCCCAGTGCTCAGCACAGGTAGTAAATGCTCAATAAATACTATTTGAGAAAATGAGTAAAAGGTAGCTGGTGGTAGCTCAATGTCTTCTAACCCCCGGAAGGGCTGTAATACCAATTCCTTAGTCCATACTATAGCCTCCCTCTCCAACAATAAATTTTCACTTTTCAAAAGGCTGCCTTAGTAGTGTAGCCTACAGGCAGAAATGGCACATTTACGTGCCTTCAGAGGCTATCACATCAATGAGAGAGTGACAAGTTACACAACCACAGGGAGTGCAAAAAATATAGAACACTAAAGAGCATTCCGTGCCTAAAGATAATCAAATACATTTTTTTCTTTTAATTAACAAAGGTATGCCACAGATAAAGCCATTATGCAAAACAAATGGATGCTACATTTAGCAAGCAGTCTGTGAACTCTAGCTGACTGAATCTCACCTTTTTTTTTTCTCCATCTCCCACCAGGAACTTGACATGAGCTTGCTATCTCCATCTTGGAGAGATCTCACCAGTTTTCTAATTGATTAGCTTTAGGTTTTTCCTCAGTGGGGAGCCCAGCCCCTCAGATTTAGGACTCATTTTGGGGAGATTTAGATTGCATGACTGAGGCCCTGAAACAAAGTGGGGTTTTGCAGACTCCCTTTAGGTTACCTTGGTTGAACGTTGCCTAGATTTTCAGGTTTCCAGAGGAAAGTCATGAAGTCCACAGAACATTTCTTACCATTTCTGCATGGTGCAAATATTAATTATGACTGTAAGACACTCACAGTAGAATACATTCTGAAAATCAAAATTGCAAACAAAAACTACTCTGTCTTCATGAACCTGAAATCTGGTTTGGTTGCAACTATACAGAAGACCTTCCAAGCAAAAACACTTCTTGACCTACATTCTTTAATATTTGTATATAAAGCATAAATAATTACCACTTACATTCCAGGGATATTGAGGATCTCTGAACTAAATAATTGTTAAACTGAAATAATATTCGTAGTGTTTCTTATATCAAAGAATTAAATAGGCATTATATTTAGAATCTGAAAAGTTCACATATAATTCACTTAGTCTAACTTCTCATTTAAGCGTATGAGATGATTGCAGCCCAGAAAAATGACCAAGATCACAGAGAACTTCAAGTCCAAAATCTCATTTTCATAATACAAAAATCTCTGAAAATGAAGGTGTATATCATAATCAAGATGGTGTCCAAATCCAATCTGAGCTGAAATCACTTGGTGGCAAACTTGATCCAAACCAAAGTTTATTTTATTGAATGTAAACATTCATACATTTGTCTAAAAGTGTTAATGTGCTTTATTATAGGGCGCTGCCTAGATACCATCAGTTTTAAGTAATATAGGGCATATGCTCTATATTACATTTGCTCTATAGTACATTTCTAAAAATCTGAAAAACCAAAACTACATCTGGCACCACAGACTTCAGATAAGAGAGTATGAAACTGTACTAAAATAAACAGTCCTTGATTCCCAAACAAGCATATGTCATCTAGGCCATTTCAATTTTATGCTTACCAGTGAAATTCAAAGTGGCTACTTCAGCCTGCAGTTAAAATGCTTTTGACTGAGTAACAGCTACTTGAACAGAATTTTCCATGTTAAACAATTTTAAAGCACTTAGTTTTAGAAATTAATTCCAAGTTCACATTATGTGACATTTTAGAAATTGCTTATGAGTATTATCAAAATGTTAAACCTTTTAGATTTACTCAATCACTGAAAATATTTTAAAATAATATATTTTTATGAGAAGTTTCTTATAGGAAGAAGGTTATAATATATAATGTAACGATAGCTTCACAGTAGCTAGAGGATTGAATAAAGATTTTAATATAAAGTTAATTTTTACAGATTTGATAGAGAATCTAAACTTAAAAAGCTACGTGACCTCAACTGGTCTCTATGGGGTAGGTGAGCAAGAAGGACTTCTCTAGAGATGAGAAAAAAATAGCAAAGAGATCATTTATATAACAAGGCAATCTTTTTACAGTATTAAAATTTGTATTCTTCTCTTTCCTAAGAAAATTTCTTTTAATACTCCAAGGAAGAAAATCTCAGTTGTACTTAGGCTTAAAATTGTACAACGCATGGATAGTCTGTTAACTCTAAACTGCCTAACTGTATAGATATGTAGATTAGCAAATCACCCCATGAAGGTAAGTTTTCAAAAGTGGTAGGGATTCTGCCAGGCCAAATAGTGTGAGAACAATGCAAATATGAAAAAAAAAAAAATACCTTGGATGTAGCATCATATTACAGCCTTTTTTCATATGAAAGATCTCATTTCAAATGTGAGTTCAAATACTATGGCCAAAGTCTGGTTTAAGCAATAGTTTTCTAACATGCAAAATTTTCTTTTAAATTATAAGCAGAACAGTGCATATTACTTCCATTATGAAACATTATACATTGTAGTCAGCATGAGATAAAAATATTGTCCTGGAAAATGAATGGAAGCAAAAGTGAAACTATTAAAGTTAACAAAAATAGTTAAATAAAGTCTTCAGTTACATAATAAGTAATAATTTCAAACATAATGCAGAAGGCTCTCAGTCAAAGGAGCAACTACAACAGAACAAACAAAAACAAAATACCTAGGAATAAACCATACAAGAATTGTATAGGACTCATACCCTAAAAAACCACAAAAGTTCATTAAAGGAAACAAAACTTAATTCTGATTCTGTAGGTCAAATACTTAATATTGGCAATTTGGGGATAGTAGGATTATAGTTGATTTTGATTTCTTCTTTTTGTTTGAGCAGAATTTCAAAAATATTTACAGGAAGAAAAAAATAC